TTCAAAATGAGTCTATATATGTGTGTTTTGATAGACTTACGGCTCCAGTAGGTACTAGTTTAAGGTGGCAGGCAGATGCAAGCGTGCTACGACGGCACACAACACTTCCATTAGTAGAAACACGCTGCATCTTCAGAAACGATGCAAATATAAAAACACAAATGTGCCAAAAAACATGCAGATGAAGAAACATCTTCAGCAACAAAGCGCTGCATAAACAAAACTCTGCAAGAAGCTCAACGGAAACCAGGGGACTTTAAAAAGTGACGCACACAGCTGGGACCGGTTGGTGACGTTCAGGGATTTTGGGACATTTGTGTTTTTTATATTTGGATCTTTTCTTGTGTGAAGTGTTTTCGGCAGCTTCATCCCGCAGACAATAAGACTGTTAAACAACTGAAACAATTTCATAACATTCATCTGCTACTTAGTAATTATTTATCTATTATCTAATATATCATTCCAATAGCTTGTACATAGACTCGTATTGCACTATTCCACTTTTTTTTTCCTCACTTTTTTTCTTTTTGTATTATTGTATATAGTATATTTTAATATTGTTTTAATATTGTCTACTTATCTGTATTATTGTGTTGCATTGTTGGAGAAGCCTGTGACCTAAGATTTTCAACGACATAATTACTCTGTAGCTATGTTAGTTAGACAATAAAGAACCTTGAACCCTAATGCGTTTGTACCTGTAGGCCACCGTACTACTGGGCTTATATTTGAGGGAAAATACCAAAACACAATGTTAGTTTTGTATTTTTGGGTGGATTTAATGGCCTTCAAAGTAGTGCCATTTGGTTTTAAGTTAACATATTGTTACATTAGATTTCACCTCGCCGTCATTACCAAATCTGCTAGAACTTTTAATTGACTTCTTATTTTGAGTGTTTGCTCTTCCATATTGTGATAAAAACTCTTGTGTTTATTTGATTTCTTGAATGTTAAACTACTTACTAAAGAAGAAGTATTATGGAAGTACAGAGACATAAAGAAAGGGCATTAAAGTGAGATAAAGGAAGGGCAAATAAGGATAAGAGTGTGCTAAAACAGACCATGGACATGTAGAATCACTCATGAGAAAATAGTACGAGCATTAGTTGCCCACATTGATCCAATAACCTGCCCTCGTATTTAATATTTAGCTGCAGTAGATTCCTCTTTGAGCCATTAGTCTAACTCATGATTAGTTCAGCGACACTCTGTCCTGCAGCCGGAGGAATAACGGCCTCATTACCGCCCTTGTTAAACCACACCAGCTCTATAAAGACACATCGGATCAGCGCCACCGTCGGTGTGCACATTTACAGAGGAGAGATGGTTACTTCAGGTTTCAGCAGGGACCAAAGATGTGACTGCTGAGTGACATTAACTCCCTCAACACTAGAGATACAGATGTGGAAATAAGGGGGTTTTAAGGGTTGTTTCCACCTGCAGTGATCGAACAAATACATCCGTACAAAAGAGCAATCAATGGTCGGAAGCTATAAAAAAGTCCTCAAACTGATCCATAAATCTGTGCAGAAAGGAAATGTAACTCCTGGAAACACCTCCAACTACAAATTGTAATGGGACCTTTTATATCAGAGAGGTTAAGCAATCATCTCCTGGTTAGAAGTCATTGTTTCACGACAAAAAGACAATTCATGAATTATTCCCAAGAAACTTAAGAGCACATCTCTGGTAAATCAAAGAGGTCCTTTTTGCACGATTGTTGATGAAATGAAACCATCCATTATTCTCCAAAGTCATATGGTAAATGGACTCAATGGGAAACATTTATACAGCCTTTTTCCAGTCATTACGCCCTGGATATTTTTTAGGACACATGACATGTTGACTGCAGGAGCCGGGAACCGAACCAACGACCTTCAAATCGACCGCTCTACCTCCTGAGAACCATGAGTGTTAGTCGACTACGTTTCTCTGGCCGCCCTAGAGAACAGATGATTGTATGTTTCCGTACCTGGTGGTGTGTAGGCGTCCATGGAGGTCTGGACCACCAGCGACCGCCTCTTGGAAGGCATCGGCACCGCCAACTTCCTCTCTTTGTGTTTGGCGAGGGCCGCCTGCACCGCCTCTGTGTGAACATCTGGAGACACAAGTGTGTACTTAATAACAACTCTGAGGTACTTCCCTATTTCAAGTTATCCTATTTTATACATACTATACATTTGAATACCTTTGAGTCTATATTTATCTGAGAAAACACAATTCAGACGAATCAAATGACAGATTAAGAACGCATTATTGCAGATTAAAACTGTGTCTTGTAGACCTTACAAGACACATTTAGATGTCCATAAATCGTTACCCTTTACACTTCTTAGATGGTTTCAAAGCCTGGATTAGAGAAGAAATACATATCTAATAATGTCATAAAGTAACATTTATAAATAAGTCACAGGTGACATCTTTCTGTCATCATTGTTTCAGTTTATTTAGCCTTCGTACTTTAGCAGAACTGAGACATTTGAAGGGAATTTTGAAGTACTTTCACTTGAGTTAACGATCTGAGTGCTTCAAACCAATAACAACGGAAATAAGCCGATTAATTTCAGGCATGGGTATCTTCCAACATATGAGCTTTATTTAGCCAATAAAAGATGTATACTTCAGCAGAATTGAGACATTTGCGGGAATTTTGTTTGAAATGAAGTACTTTTACTTGAATAAACGATCTGAGTGCTACTTACTAACCAATAAAAAAAGAAATAAGCCAATTAGTTTCAGTGTAAACAGAGAGAGAGTGTTAAATAACAGAGAGTGCTTCCAGTAACAGTAGAGGAGCAGCAGCGAGACCATCAGCTGTGTTTGTGCTGCAGTGTTCTCCGCACAATGAGCACCGTGTTCCCATTTATCCACGTTCAGTCTGGACACAGAGTCTAAGACAGCGGCTCCCAAGAGGCCTTGTGGTTTTTCCAGAATGGATCGAGTTCGGGGAGTGTCGGAGCAGACGTTTCTGTAAATGAGTGTTTCTAAGAGCGAGATAAAACGCCGCCGTGTAGCCACAGCTGGTTTCATTTGAACAGTGTCCATCGCTGACAACACACACACACACACACACACACACACACACACGTCGATATTGACATCAGTCAGACATGTGTCGGATGAATGGAGCTCACACATGTACGTTTGTTTAACTTGTGCGTGGGGAACGGAGGTGATTTAAATCAAGTGCACGTTTATTGTCTTGTGGTTGACCGAGTGTGACGGAAAAGGGTGTAAAAGTAAGTGTGTGTGACGTTTGAAAGGTGCTCACACAGCTTTTCTTTTTCAACTTAATGGGTTAAAAGCTTTTTTTATGGATTTAAATCCTGTCTAAACAAACTCTCAGGTCGAATCAGGTTTTCCCGCTGATCCAGGAACTCCTGTCTGTTTTCTTAGAGAACTGCCTATCTTTGCTTCTAAACGTCAGCACTGCACATTCCTACAGATTGCTTTAGCATGAGATGCCACTGAAGAGAAGTTTAAATCCTCAGTTAATCCCATATTCATGTTTCCTGGACATCAGGTGGAACAAAAGCAAACAATGCATGTTCAAAGAGCCGGGACAGATTTGTCGAAAAGCTTTTTCCACAGCTTTCTGCCGAACTCTGGATTTATTCTGCAGATAATGTCACTGTGCCATGATCAGGATGAATGAGTGGATCGAGGTTAAGTGTCGATGTGTTCCCAGGTCTAAAGTTTCCAAACAAACCTCTCTGAACCAATGCACAATTGGACTATAGCTAGATAAATATAAGACAGATGGAACATGGGGATCTTCCAACATGTGAGCTCAGAGAAAGGAGGAACTACATTTGAAAAACCTGTAATTTATATATCTTTATCAGATAACGATATTTATATTGGCTTCAACATCCAAGTATCAGCGGGGTTATATCCCTAGTCTCATTTTCTCATAGACTTCTATACAAACTATATTTGTCGTAACCATTGGAGTCGACCAGAAAGAAATACGTTTAAGAAAATCAGGTTTCCTTATTGATATGCAGGCAAGACCTCAAAATGATAATGACATCCTTACCTGTATTTGGAAGAACTAACATTTTAAAAACATGGTACCACTTTAAGCTTAACTTGTCATATATAACCCATAATGCTACTGAGGGGATTACCGAGCCTCATTGACTGTTCCCTGTAGACATAGAGAGTTGAAAAGAGACTAATGGAGGGTCAAGGTGAATCCGTTCCTCACCTGATCGGTACCGCTCGTCTCTGGATCCAGAGGAGCGCCGGCGGTGGTACCGTGAGGACGAGGAGGGGGTGACCGGACCTCTCCTCTCCTGGCCCTGCGGGGGGTCCATTCCTGAGACAAAGAGGGGCAGATTTAACACATAATCTTCCTTTAAGGTGAGATAACATACACCTTTAGAAACATTCAGGTGTTAAAGCAGCAACAGGAATACGATGGTATCACAGGAGAGAACCAGCTGAGAGTTCACACAAGCATGAGTAATTACAGATACAAAACAAAGGATTTAAGTCACAGTGTAAACTAAATAACAACAACAATATCACACATATATACATATAAAAGTCTAAGTTCAAGTCCAAAGTAGGTATACAGTATATCTCCAAATAAAAAATCTATTCTAACTGAAAAACAACTTTTTCGTATATTTCTTGTGTATTTTCTGTATGCTTCTGTACCGTTGCTTTTTCGCATGTATTTGTAAATAAACCATTGATCCATGACAGAAGTCTCTCCCAATGAGAAAGCTACATTCGGAGGACAAACCTGCAGCTGTTCTAGAAACAACAGGAGGTTATTTATTGCAGTTTGGCTTCTGATTTGGACGTTTTACCTCCGCTGCAGCCGAGGCTGTGACTCAGAGCTCAGGGACGTTATTAAGAAGCTTTCAAAACCCTTCAGGCCTGATAGAAACAATTTCCTGCTCAAAGTGTAGTCCTTAGTTTCTGAACACACAGAGGTGAAGCACATAAACACCATTACTAAAGAAGACTACTTCAATCTGCATGAGAATCATCACGTCTTTAAGTTTTCTTCAGGATCAAATGATGTAATGATAGTAGTTTGTACATCTATGGAAACACTGCACACAGGAACTGATCGTTGATGATTGGGCAGACGTTGAATGGTGCCAATTAGCCCAAATCAATAATAAAATGGGGTGAGGTTGGAGGATGTTGGAAGCAGTTTTAAAGCCCCCAAAAAAGCATGACTCAGCAGAAATCAGACATAAATATTCACACACATTTTTAAGTGAATTAATTGTATATTGAAAACAAAAGGAATGATTTGACCACAATGCATTGAACATGGTAGGTACTTAAGACAGCTATGACACTGATTCCAATATTACAGATTAGTGTATAGACTGTTTAAATAAAACCTATTCAATAAACTGAAGCACTCAACTCTAAACATCTTCACAACAAAAAAGAAAAAATATAAGCTATAAGCTAAAACATACATGTTCCATTGATAAAACATATATCCATAAATAACTATTAATATCTTGAACAATACAGATAATCATGACTCAAAACCTGCCATGGGAAATACAGCGCACTAGCAGAAACACACACACACACACACACACACACACACACGATCAATACGTCTGATGATGATAACCTCCCTGTTACTGACAGCTACGCAGCAGCTGACCACCCCCCCCCCCCCCCCCCCCCCCCCTTTATCTGTCTTCATTACGGCTCTCAGAGAAGCGGGAAGCTGATTATTCGAGCGTACAAAGAGCGGCAGTTAACGGCAGGTCTGGGAAATTCCTCGCTCAGATGTTTCCTCCGGGGAGTCTGGATGGAGGGATGGATTCCCCAACACCAGAACCACTCTACTTCCTCTGTATAAATATATTATTCTCAATCCTTTACTCTAACTCTTATTTTTCCTGCAAACACTTCATTTTGTACTTATTTATTCACCAGTCAAAAATCTGTTAAAGAGTCTATTAATCAACTTTTACCTGTTTAGGGATAATAAAGTCCATTTGTCAGTCTACCACTTTAGATTGGATTATCTCCACTACTACATGTCCCCTGTTTTTGTACTTTTTTAAACCTTTCCTTCGAATATTTTATGAATTGTAAAGTGTCCTTGGGTGCTTTGAAAGGCGCCTCTAAATAGAATTAATTATTATTACTCTTTGATAGATGTGAAATTTGGTGCAGATTAGTGTTAATTTCGTTGACTAACTCTATGACGAAATATGTTCGTCAACGACCTTTTTTTCCATGACGAAAACGAGACTATGACGAGACGGCACCGACGGCAGTAAAAAATAACTAACGAAATCATCATGCAATATCGTTGACGAAAAGTGACGAGACGAAAATGTAGTTCACTAAATAAAAACTATGCTAAAATCTCTCTTTACTTTCGTTGACGAAAAATGAGGAGACGAAATATTATCAAAGATAACGTTACATCTCTGATAGTCAGTTTTTCTCCCAGCAGTTCCATTTCCGGTGCTGCGGCAGGGCAGCAGCTGTGTGTCCGTGCTGCGCGCGGCGGTAGATTTGAATTACACCGGGCAGCGGCACACTGTGAACTGTCAGGAAGACTCGGGTCTAACTCATGGTCTAACTCATGGTCTAACTAACCTTATTTAACAGAAAATGAAATGGCAACAGGGCTTGGGAGCAGTGGTCGCACTCGCGTTAACCGAATACCCCCCCCCCGTCAGCGCGAGTGATTGATAAATTGTGCACTCGACGGATAATAATGGATTATGACGGAAATGTTACGATCCGTCAAATTGACTGACAACGAAAAAGTCTAAAGCCACCACTGCTTGGGAGAAAGAAACAACGTGATATTTGGGCCCATTTTCGCTACAATGAGGCGGAGAAAAAAAGCGAATGCATTGTTTCATCAGAAGGGAAGCAATGTGGCCAAAACACAGCTGGTAAAAACACCACAAACCTGAGCAGATACTCTCTGCAAAGCTGCATTCTTAATCATTCAACCTGAGTTTTTCATCAAATAAGGACAAAATATAATCTTATTTATTTATATATATATACTAAAATGACAAATTATTGGTTTTGGCTAGACTAGTTTGACTAAAATGTTCTATATAATCTGATGACTAAAAAATACTCAACAGTTTTTATTGACAAAAAGTAGACTAAAATAATTCGTTTTCTTTGACTAAAATATGACTAAAATGCTCAGACTTTTAGTCGACTAAATCTTGACTAAAATGTTTACTGTTTTAGTCGACTAAAATAAGACTAAAATGCTCAGACTTTTAGTCGACTAAAACTTGACTAAATAAAAACAGGATGAAGGTGACTAAATATGACTAAAACTAAAAAGGAAATTTAACACAGGACTAAGACTAAAACTAAATTAAAAAATAGCTGACGAAATTAACACTAGTGCAGATCAGGGACGGGGGAAGTTCGTCAGAGTTGGGGGTGCGGCGAAACTGTGGCGCACTACACTGTAGGTGCGCCGGCGCCGCGTTTGCGCTTCAGAGGAGGCTCCCTCCGCAAAATGAGGACCCACCCGCGAGGGGTCTGCGTGATCTGCGTGTAGGGAGGCGCGGCCCTGCATAATAACGTCATATTCAATGCAGTCATTTGGTCTTTAGCAACAGCTTGTGAGAGCAGTGCATTCATCGGTGTTCGTTTTAATGCTGCCAGTTTGTTGACGGCCTGTGTGTTGATGGGACTTCTCATGCTCCCTAAATGTTTCCCCTGCCTTTCGCCAGTTGTTAAATCCTGCTTTCACAAAACTCCCATCCCTGATTGTGTCTGCACTGACGAGCTTCTTTTATATAGCAGAGCAACAGAAGAAGCACACCGCATTATCACTTCTCTTATTAGTGAAGCTTTTTATAGACTGCTTACACTAAAATGCTAACTCAAAAATAGTAAATAAAAATAAAAATGTATTGATTTGTTTAGTGAACTTGTTGGCGTCGCAGTTACAACTCTCCGTTAACAGATGGGGGTGCTGCAGCCCCCTCAGCAGCCCCCCGTCCCGCGTCCCTGGTGCAGATACCAATAATGCCCAGAAGACAAATCTGACTGATTTCCAAGTTTCTCTGAGTTCTTCTAAAGTTTCACCAGAAGGTTTTTACTTTTCCTTTGAAACATCTCCGCATTGACAGGATGGATTGGCACAACATTTGGTACAGAGATTCACGGTTCCAAGAAGATTAATCCTAATCAATGTGGTTATCTTCGGACATTTTATGAGGCTGCATCATCAGTTCAAAGTTTCAATCCGTCCAAAACATTGTTATCATTGCTAGTTAGTAAATAGCATGCTACGGTATCACGGTGAACATCGCTTGGTACCCGTTAAAACATTTTGCATTCATATCTTTATTAATACTAACACACCACCACATATCTTGTAATGTACACATGTTTACATATGTATTGTTGTTCATTAATGTACAATGTGCACATTTTTACTTTAACTTCTTATATTAATGTAATATTAAATCTTTATTCTTTATTTGTTATTATCTTGTTTATAGAAATAATGTATTCAATCTATTTGTATATTTATTGCACACTTTCATTACATCATTTTAACTTGACTTCTGATTTTAAAATAAATATTTGTAATTGTATTTATTAATTATTAACAACCTAATGTCCCCGTGAGATAACTTATTAATATGTGTTATTCTGATTGTGATGAACCCTTCATACGAACACACTTGACTCGTACTTGCAGGTATTTTGTATTCTTCGTCACACAGATGAGGTTTTTACCACTAAAACTGAAGCTGACGTTCAATTAATAAATCATCCACTTAATGACATTCACGTTCCAGTTTTTCTCCATCTGTCTGACAGTCCTTACAACAAACACTTTGAACAGGATTTCAACAAGTCGCACACACACACTGAAACCTTAAAGAAAATCAATGCAGGACTCTCATTTATTCTACTGCAGGGAGAAATCCAATAAAGACCTGATGAAGTATAACACACTAAAACCAAAAATGTCTTAACAACTCTAAAGGGTAACACAAAACACACAATTTCCAGATGTATCACGAAACTAAGCCATGTTTTACTTTTGCCTGATTTTACACAAAAAAATAAAAAACTTACCAACATGGAAAGAAATATATTAAAAAACACTCCATACAAAATAATATATACAACAAAATATTTAAAATAATATGTATTCAAAAGAGAAAAGAAAATGACATTCAAACATAGTGTAAATATAACATATATATATACAGCACAGTATATTCAATTGTATATTCAGCTTTTCATAAAAGTTAAATATTTACAAAAAAGTAATAAAATATTTCATTTTTTAGGCGGTAAAAACACAGAATAATCAGATTAGAGATCTACATAATTAGAGGAATTCCACAAAATGTAAATGTTTTTCAAATTACTTAATGATTATAATGGGATGGGTTTAATCCTGTATTGTAGTTTTAAGTTTGACAGATTGTGTTCGTTTCTAGTGAGGTGCTTTCAGTCGACAAATTGCTCGCTATTACTGGCATTATCTGATGCAAGCTGCAGCAACATTTTTGGGATGGCATGCAGAACATGTCACACAGCAACCAGCTGCAGTGTGTTCTCTTTCTGTCAGATTTGCTGCCAGCTATGCAGAAGTGTCACTGATTCTGAAAACAATGAACACTGCCAATAAAAGTCAAGCACAATGAGAGGTGTTCCAAATTCAATGCCGTCATTATCTGCATGAATATAGAAAGACGATCACTAAAATAAGACTTTAAAGACAGGGATTCAGCCGGTTTGTAAAGTCTTTAAAATAAAGTGGCTTGCTTCATGTTGTGGCTCCATTTAAAACAGTTTCCTGGATTCTCTTATTTGGTTCCACTTGTAGGGACGATAGAGTTAAATTGGAGCAACGACAAATATGTAATCTCAATACCTACTAATGTGAGCCAGGTCAGGTGAACGAGTTCAAGTTTGAAATGTTAAAAATATATGGAGGAAGCATTTCTTCGATATTGAATATTCAAATCATATTTACCTGGGTTTAAATGTAGCTTTGAACTCCAATACAAATATAATAAGTACATCTAACTGGTTTTAAAAAGGAGATAACTAGAAAAGTATTCACGTATGAAGGACCAACAAAATGTAACACTACTATGTCAATTTTCTGGAGGTAATAAACCGTTTGAAGAGGTTTGAACAAGAGGAATTTCAAAATAGAAACCTTTACCATTTACTTCCACTTCCTTGAGGTTTTAAGAAATTGTTAAAATGCAGAAAAAACGTTTTTATAACCCAAAAACAGAACAAAAAGTACAGCAAGTTCCCAATATAAACATTATTTATCTCCAACCAAAGTGATTGGATCTCAATGAACAGTTCGTGTTAAGCACTTCTACTTACATTGTTTTGTTTGACACTTCTTAAAGTTTTCCAGCATCGCACAGCTGTCAAAAATCCATGTTTCCTTAACGGCAGATCTTCTCTTTTCAATTAGTGATTGGATCTCAATGAACAGTTACATTTTTTACATTTATATTCAATTTAATATCTAATATTCCATGCCTCACATACTTATGTATATACACTAACTTGCTTTATATTTGTCACTGTACATTTTTGTAATTCAACATGTATATTTTCTACTTTCTTGTTTATTCCTAGTATTTACATTGTTATTGTACAATGCCATGTCTTCTCATGCTGCTGCAACACAAACATTTCCCTAATTGGGATCAATAAAGTACTTCTTATCTTATCTTATGTCAAGCACTTTTACTTACATTGTTTTATATAAAGACGTACACTTCCTAAAGTATTCCAGCATCGTACAGCTGTCACAAATCCCTGTTTGATCAACACCATATCTTCTCTTTTCAATACCTCCCGTCTACCTGATCCGACACACCTCGGCAGACACTCCGTCTGAAAGCCAGAGTCCGGCGTAGAGCGGCTGAGTGAATTTAGTCTGGACTCTGTGGACGAGGGTCCTGGTTTCAGAGACGCTGTAGAAGGACAGGACTCCTGCGTCAGGATCCAGGTAAACTCCCACTCTGGACGACCACATGCCCGGGATGCGAGTTCTAACGTTGTCATGCCTGAACGTGCAGGTGTTTTTGTAACAATCCAACGCCCAAGACTTGTCGTTGTACCCAAACATGCTTTCAGTGAAGCCCCCTAATCTACTAATGTCTTTGTATGCGACTGCTACAAAAGCTGCTGTCCCGCTCAACTCCACCTCCCAGTAACTGCGACCGTCCAGACTGTCTTTACTCAGGAGCTGCCAGCTATAAACAAACCTCTCCGGATGAAGAGGATACTTCTGTTCATCACTGACGAAGGTTACCATTTTTTCGTTCCCGGATATCTTCAGATGTGTGTTGGCCGTGTTTGGATCCAGAGTTACTTGGCATACATAGTGTAAGAAGTCGGCTCTGGTGATGGGCTCTTCTTTAGTATTTGATGCTATAACCCCAGTTACTGTCATGGAGACCTTTGCGTATTCTTCCCCAACAATCGCATGTAAGTTCACCTTGGCCTCGGACAGAGCCATTGAAACTTTCTCGAAGTACCCCACGCGATGGGCTTTGACGGGGGGCGGGTCTGTGGATTCACTGAGACTTACCAACGTTGGGTACTTGATCAGAAAACCAGTGTGATCCTCTGTGTGTGAGAACTTCTTCAGCTCTTCGTCTTTCCTCTTCAGCTCGGCGACGTCCTGCTCCAGCTTCTCCCGAACCTTTTTGTACCACCTGACTTCGGTTTCCTGTCGAGATGTAACCTTCTCCTTCACTTCTGCGACACTTTTCTCAATGATATGCATCAGTTCTTTGTAGGTGTTCTCGTTGTTTCTCAGAGCAGCTTCAGCGCATCGATTAATGGTGTCTTCCTCCTGTTGAAACCACTTTGCGTCTTTCTGTTTGTCCTGGATCGTCTTACGGATGTTTTGCAGAGTCACCTGAAGCTCTCTCTGCTTCTCCACCCTTTCTGCTGCAGTCGAGACTTTATTGTGGCCTTTGTGAGTATCTTTCGAACAGAGATAGCAGATGCACTGCTGATCCGTACGGCAGAACAGCTTCATCACTTCTTGATGACGAGGGCAGATGTTCTCCTGGAGCTGTGCGGACGCTTCCACTAGCTTGTGTTTCTGTAAGGGGGCTACTTCAAAGTGTGGGCGGAGGTGTTCCACGCAATAAGAAACCATGCATTGCAGACAGGACTTGATAGCTTTCTCTTCACAGAAATCACAGGCCACATGTTCAGTTTGATCAGAGCTGTGATCATCAGGAGAAGGAGGAGGAGGAGTTGGGGTTTCAATCTTCATCAGCTCCCCAACCACAAACGCCAACATGTTGTTTTTTACCAAGGCAGGTCTTTGCATGAATTTCTGCCGGCACTGAGGACAGGTGTAGATCATTCCATCATCCTGAGTATCTAAGTGGTCCGTGATACACACCATGCAATAGTTGTGTCCACAGGAAAAAGTCACCGGGTCCTTCAGCAAATCCAGACAGATTGAGCAGCAGAAATGTGCTCGATCAAGATGGATCCCCTCTGCCATGTTGCTTTCCGATTAGAGCAGGTGTGTGATGACTGAATGATAAGAAGATAACTTAAATAGCTTCACTAGAGAGGGAGGGCATCATTCCTGGAAGAGGAGTGGCTTCAAACAGGAAGGGTGTTCTCCTTTCTCGTAAAAGTTGTTACTTTACGTGTTATGGGAATAGTTGTCCCAATGCCAGGTTAATACGAGAACTTGGAATGTTTTGTTATAGTATGTGGACAATCAGGTGTGTACGTGACATGGGAAATATTCAGGGCGTATGTTAGATTGGAATCAGGGTTGGTTTGGCTTGAATCAGAACCAGGCCCTGACAAGACATCTATGAAATTACAATGGTATTTCAATCATACTCAACAGTCATCCAACCATAGACAATAGACCCAGGCTGTGCTAAACTGAAGTAAACCAACCAGTCTGTCCATGTCCTCAACAGAGGATGGCAAAGACTAGGGGAACTGTTCAATGGTATGCATTTTGGGGAAGTGCTGAGTCACAGCAGGAATCCCCCAGGTTGAGGTAATGTTGGAAAAACCAAGCCAAGGGGTGATCATACTCTCCCTGAAATGCCTAAGGTTGGGGATTTGTTTTAATACGTGCATGAAGTGACAGATATGTGCCCTTTTTGTTATGTTGCACCAAGAGGAAGGCAGTTGCAAAAACTCTCTTTTGAACCTCAGTAGGTTTCTATTTAACAAACACACTATCACCAGCTACTTACTTTTTTTCAACAATTTCAATGTTTCTTCTTCTGCAACATTTGTATTATTTCCTACAGAAGTTATTCCTAATTTGTCATGACAATGGGTCGAGAAATATACTGACATTTTGCCTCAGGCCACTTCTATCGTCAGCAAAGAAGAATACAAATAATTGGGGCACGAAGGTGATGACAGGTGTCTTAATTCTGATCCTTAGTACACTGTCAACACCTGTGGGGAATTGGTGACTTTCTACCATATAGTGTCGTCTAAAATCTTACACGGCTACTGTGGCCACACCGGAAGTAGCGATAGCTGCTGTTAGCTTGCTACAGTAGATACGAGCAACGATCATTTACTGTACCAAATCAGGACGAACTGCTAAAACTGTTAAATTAATTGTGTTGTTTTTTTATCAACACCCGTATATTGGTACATTTCCTCTACAGTAAAAAAATATATATATATGCGTAGTGCTTGTATAGTACACCGGGTACTAGTGACTAAAATTGCTGCTGTTAGCTCGCTAGATAGCTAGCACGATTGTTTTCTGGACCAAATCAGTATGGACTGCTCAATTAACCATGTAGAATGAACAGTGGCTTCTTTTCACACCGTCATGTTGGTACGTTACCTAAGAAATATAAAGAAAAACCTGCATCTTTTGTAGTTGAATAGTAGTGTGTTTACCGGAGCAACAGCAATCGCAGCTAGTCAGGGAACTTCTAATAAGTAGCCAAGATGGCGAGTGTTCGGTGTGAGAAGACTCAACGTTTTAACGTTATGAAGTCACGAAGGTTCCAGGTACTTTTACCATAGTGGAATTGGGACACACTTATGCCCTCAAAAGAGCACATGTGAATACAGAAGTATGCAATTTGAGACACAGCATGGGTGAACTAAGCTGTCACTTTATGACCAATGTAAAACTTTAATTTAAAGCACCTACAGGTGACCTTGTCGTCACTACATGTATGTTCTTTCAGTCTAAAAACGTTGTATTACCTAGTGTATAAATCAAAACCAACTTAAAAGCCTTTTCTTCTTTCTTTTCTTGGCTGCTTTTGAAAGGCCTGTGTGCCGGATCTTATGATGGCCCCTCAGAGGAAACTAAACCCAATCTATAATGTGAAACCGTGTAGATCTGGGTGACTGGGGAAATCCTTTACTTTGAACGCTGTAAATGCTTTAATCAAACTGTATCAGCCTGGCGGAGCACAATCAGTGCAGATTAACAGGCCTCAGAGCTGAAACACATTACAGTGTGTGTGTGTGTGTGTGTGTGTGTGTGTGTGTGTGTGTGTGTGTGTGTGTGTGTGTGTGTGTGTGTGTGTGTGTGTGTGTGTGTGTGTGTGTGTGTGTGTGTGTGTGTGTGTGCATGTATAGGGAACAAGGGAGTATTGTGTTATTAGGTGTGTGTGTGTAAAGGGGTCAACAAAAATTGAGTTGTGTGTGTATGCACAAGAACACAGTGGAACAGGATTGAAGGAATGTGCAGGGTATAATGTAGTGTGTGTGTGTGTGTGTGTGTGTGTGTGTGTGTGTGTGTGTGTGTGTGTGTGTGTGTGTGTGTGTGTGTGTGTGTGTGTGTGTGTGTGTGTGTGTGTGTGTGTGTGTTGTGTGTGTGTGTGTGTGTGTGTGTGTGCACAGGGGGGTGTGTGTGTCATCCGGTCCCCCCATAGCGAACTGGGGACGACCCCCCACTGGGCCATGGATGTGAATACCACACATTTTCTCCATCCCACACCCTTCATTCCTTCCCATAATGCACTTCCTGACATCCCCCCAGCATATGCAGACACACACACACACACAGTATATTCCAGTAATAGCTTCAGCTGGTCTCAGTGACCCTGCAGTCCCATCCTCAGTCTGATGAGCGTCTGACGGTGAAATGGACTTTAGGATCATTTGTGGTTTGACTCAGTAACATCTACCCGAGGTGTTTTTATACCAACAACACAGCTCAACTGGTCATGGTATAGTAAATGTAGTAAAATGGCAATCAACACATAAACTATCAATCTAAGTCTTAAGTTCGTTTTGAGAAGAAAACCCAACCCGACAAAAACGAAAGATAAATAAATTGGTGCTCTTGCTAATCTTGCCTTTTCAGTTAAATAATAACAAACTCTCTGTATAAAACTAATAGATAAATACATGCAATGTGTTATTTGTATTAGCCTAAGAAAAAGCTTCCTGGTTAAACATCACATAGGCAAAGTAACCACAGGAAGTCCAGTTTTTAAGGTTTTAAAGTATTAAAAAAAAAAGACATTATCCAAACCCAAATACGAGTGACTGTTGGAGCTATACAGGTATTATTTGCCGGGCATATACCTGATCCCAGATCATTATATCTTTGGAGTATGAGTTATTTATTAAGGACTTGTTGCTCCTCAACTGTAAGAAGTCAATATGATATAGAAGTGACACGTTTGTGATCAGGTTGATGTTTGTAAAGGCCCGGACACACCAGGCCGAAATCGGCCGTTTTCGTTAGTCGGACGACGAAGCGTGCCCTGTCGCCCAAACTCAATTTGGTGTGTCCCGGACCGTCGGCCGTGACACGCCTTATTTGGCCTTTCATGGCCGACGCACGGCCGATTCAACATGTTGAATCGGCCGTGCGTCGGCCACAGGCAGTCGGACAAATAAATCACTCCGATTGGCTGTTCAGCTAGCGAATCAGTGCATTAGAAGCGAAACCGTTGCTTGAGAATGTCTTCCACAAGCAACACTCCAATGGCTGATAGCTCCAGTACCGCACCAAACATGTTTTCGATGGACGAGAGTGAAAATGGAACGCACACGCTATTTGTTGTTTGTTTAGATCACGCAGTCTGTTCTTCTTCTCTGTCTTCCGGTTGTTGCCTCTTTTGAATGACGAATACACACTACCGCCGCCTGCTGGTAAGGAGAGTAATTGCCACTCAGGCATGCGCAGTTCGTACGTGCTCGGCTGAAGTATTTGCGGTGTGTTCCAGAGCGACACATGGCCAAGACGCAGGAGAACACGGCGACGCAACAGTCGGCGTCGGCGAGTTCTCTGGTGACTGCTTGGTGTGTCAGGGCCTTTAGTTTAACCTTCGATTTGACAGAGACTCAATTCTGACTGTCCATTGTTTGTAGGATGCAATGCTTGTGACGGTTTTATAGCAATTCCTTCACAATACAATGCTCTATGAGTGGATACAAAGGGGAAGTAAAGTCTAATTGTACCTGGAGTTTGTGGGAAGAAAGCTCCAATCAGCTTGGACCGTTTCTTCTCATAGCCCTTCTGTGTGATATCACCTGTGAGAGGAAACAGAGAAAGAGAGAGATTTACTTTTCATATTCTTTAATATAAAAGCAGTGTTGACTCCTGTGAAGACACAGTGCAGCATAAACCATGTCCCTGTTGTTAAATCAAGCTTTTCTGCAAAGTTGCAAAGCTAATATAAGATGTTAAAGCCAAAAACAAAGCTATAAAGTGTACAAAAGAAAATGAAGGCATGAATCTGTGATAACACAAGACAGAGAAACAATGAGGCTACACTCAGATGTTTATATTCCACAAAAAGCTGCAACCTAAGACATCATAACTCAGTCAGAAGCTGATCACATTATGCTGAGTCATTCAACCAGGACCAGATGGAGCAGTTTGTGCACATGTGTGTGTGTATGTGTGTGTGTGTGTGTGTGTGTGTGTGTGTGTGTGTGTGTGTTCATTTGGACGTCAAAGCGCTGCAGATGCACTTATTGTCCACCTTTCTCAGAGTTTACAACACACTGAAAACCTGCTGACTGATCTCCAGAAGTGAAGCCATAAATCAGGCTGACCTGAAGCACCGTCAGCAGATTTCTACATCTGAATCCAATGACTCTTTCAGAAATGAATCCTGGTGTTCTCTTCTGCCAGGCGGGAGGAGTTCGTCACATTTACGAAGGTTTTAAATTAAGGAAGAGTTAGAAATGTTTGGGAAAATCAGCGTAGAGTAAATGAATGTCAGCTGACGGCTGATTGACTTGCCATGAGTTTAACCTGAACTCCAAGTGAAGGAAAACAACGACTTTCTGGGTGAAATAAGGCAACAAGGGAAGAGAGCTGAAAGCGAGACTGATGCATCATGGGAATTGGAGTTTACGAGATGAGAGAAGGCATGTTCTTTCAATTTAAAAGCCAAAGACTAATACAAAAGTTAGGGTTAGGGTGTTGAGTTAACCCTTATGTTGTGTTCGGGTCTCCTGTGACGCGTTTCAAGTTAAAATGATATAACTACGCTCTCGTTTTTTGTATCGGAACAAGGCTTCATGATATCCTCCACAACAGATATATAAACACTACAAACCTGATTTGACCATTTTTGCCACGTCTGAATGTTTCTAACAAAAAAAGGGTATAACTTGGTCTGAGGACACCCAGCAGAATTGTTTTGGGTGACTCGAGGTCAAATTTGGCCCAATCAAGATCCATCTTTGACTTTAGACACCCCGCCCCCTTCATCCACTGTAACAATAGTTTTTCGCAACATGCACCTGGTCTCCCCTCCCTCTGCCCCCCTCCCCCCACGGGAACTCAACCTTTCTCAAAGAATATGTACACTAACACTTGAATGTGTGCAATGTGTGTTGTGATGTGTTTTGGGGCGATAAGTTACATTTCAACAGGATTGTACGATTATGAATGCATTATAAGTTAGTTATGATGATATTTATTACATTACATTACATTACATTGCATTTAGCTGACGATTTTATCCAAAGCGACTTACAGTAAGTACGTTCGACCAACAAAATACAAACTTGAAGAAAACAGAATCATATAAGTACATCAGGTTTCATAGAGTTAAAACATTTCAAGTGCTACTCAACTGGCTTTAGGTAAGCCAGTCCTTTATTAGTATATAAGTTCTTTGTTAATAGTTCTATCGCTCGAAGTGGAGTCGAAAGAGATTTCAGTCTGCGCCGGAAGATGTGTAAGCTATCTGCTGTCCTGATGTCAATGGGGAGCTCATTCCACCATCTTGGAGCCAGGATTATTGGATGATAGACATTATTTGTGTGTGTTTTGGACTGAGATAACTCATGGGTCAAAATGTACCCACGAGCACCATGAACGGTAACAGCTTTTGAACACAACACAAGGGTTAAAGCAAGGAGAATGTAAGAAATGTAGATGAGGAGGAGGAGGAGACTAAAGGAAGAGAAAGTCCATAAAGATTGAGGCAGAAAGAGTAGTTGAGGAGTGCGGAAATGTATACAAAATAAATTAAAATAAGAAAAAGTGCATTTTTAATGACCTAACTGCTTGAGATGAATGTTAATGATGTTATCTGATTAAATGTAAATAAAAAAACATTTGTTCTTTATGTCAATTTGAGGCAGGCTGGATTGCAAAAATAAAACATAATTATAAAATATAAACTAGTGTAACAGTGATCGCCATGTGCGGCCCACCACAGGTACTATGTCATGAAGCGCTTACTTTTCCTATCAAGTAATATCAAAACGCTAACACATTTGCTGTAGTTTTTAAATCTTTTATTTTGCAGTGTAACAGTTTGTGTTTTCAAAGCAAACAAATGACGTGCTCAACTCTCAAAAATGGCAGATATTCTCTCATAAAACAAACGTTCTCAAACACTCTCAATATGCTTTTGAGAGACATTGTGTGCCAACTGGAGCTGCAACTTTAGACCAGGACTCGTAAACTCTGAAATAAACCAGGATATTTCTCTGACTGGAGGATGACTCAGTAAAGAAACTCAGTGACTCAGCGGATTTGTCAAACGCGGGAAAAAAAGCCGTTGACAAATCCTTCTTAAACTCACAAACATGTGAGCACGGACGTCATCGGTGACAGCAGTGTCAGTGTGTGTGTGTGTGTGTGTGTGTGTGTGTGTGTGTGTGTGTGTGTGTGTGTGTGTGTGTGTGTGTGTGTGTGTGTGTGTGTGTGTGTGTGTGTGTGTGTGTGTGTGTGTGTGTGTGTGTGTGTGTGTGTGTGTGTGTGTGTGTGTGTGTGTGTGTGTGTGTGTGTGTGTGTGTGTGTGTGAGCGTGAAGGCTAAGCACATGGCAATAATTAGCATCTCTGGTGGGGGAGCTAACTACCTGCAGAGAGGAACTGGCAAATGTTTCAGTTTGAAAAAGGGATAAACGAGGGGGGGCTGACCTTGTCTTCAACAATAACTTCTTACAGTGACACACACACACACACACACACACACACACACACACACACACACACACACACACTTTTCATGTGATGTTATCAGGGACGTAGAGTGAAATGAACGTGTCGCTCAGAGAGATTTCCTGTGAGATTATGTAACAGCTGTGTGTTAACAATCTCCGTCCAATCAGAGAGTGAGACAGGCTGTCAATCACACTGTCAATCAGTGAGACAGGAAGTCATTTAAGCTTATGAGGACATAGCGTACAGAAAACTACAAGATTAACTCTGTGAAGGCGTTTCTAGTTATTAAGAACAAGACCCCTAAATAGACTGACAGAAAACTATTGATTATTTGATTTAATAATGTGAGAGATCTACTTACTTTCTCTTATTTGAATGTTATTTGGTTTAACTGATATTCTGGATTGTGAAGAATGTTATGTTTGGATGTCTTGTCTTTTATTTGCACCCCTGGTAGAGTAGTTGTCACTGCAGTAATAACCAATGATCTTCCTATGAATAATTAAATACCTCAGATATACAGACATACAGCACCACTGCTCTTAACCTCCACCTTGAAGTGAAGCATTGTGGGTAGTCCATGTGTAAATCCCTCCTTCATGCACTCACACTGCTGACTGTAGCAACAGATGATGAAGTGACAACTAGAGGATGCAATAAGTCGTCAATCGGTCACTTTTTACAGCGATTGTTTGTGTAAATGATAATAAATCATGTTAAAGGGCCATAAGTATGTGGACACCCCTACAGTTGGTTGTTTTGATTCACTACCCCACTTCCAAACAACCAAATTATCCATTTAAAGAAGACATATATATTTTGAAGCATTTTCATTTATTTTAGGGTTTTTGAGGTTTTTCATTTTATACTATAATGAGAAAAAATATGGAATTTATTAGTGACATATTTGCATAAATAACATATACCACAAATGAAGCCAAATACACACACACTGCCATATACAAACAGAGATTTACCTCTGCGTAAACACACACACACACAACGCTCAGTTAAGCCGAGAGGAAACGCCCAAGGACTCCCCCGAGAACACACACCTGAAAACTAACACACACACACACACAGCAGGTGTTTACAGTAACAACACACTGAGTCAGGAGAGAAACACACACACACACACACACACACACACACACACACACACACACACACAGAGAGAGAGAAAAAAGCTCATTTGCAGGTGCATCAGGTTTGTCTGTACACTTTAACACTTTGCGTTACAAGGTTTTAAATATCACAGTCAGGTAATCTCTTTGCTTTCATTTTGATATATGTTGACATTCCTTATCTTGTATTCTTACTATCTTTTTCCAATCTTGTCCCTGTTGCCCTACGAGGATTAGTAAAGGTTTCTCTTGTTTTTTATCTTATCTTATTTCATTGTTTTCTGTTTTAATTCCACTTAGACGATTCTCAGCATGCACAGAAAGACAAAAACTAATATACTTTAAAAAATAGATGCTCGTCGAGCTGAGAAATGTGTGTTTGATTCCTGAGAGGAGGACATTTTAAAGTCATGACATTTCCCCTGGAAAGCTAAGAGGGTTTCTTGACGTCTTTTCCACTAATCTAACGGTTTCCAAATGTACAGACAAACGACTGAAGTAGAACACAACGCTACCCAGACTGAGTTCTCCTCCTCGTCAGAAGGTGTTCAAATATCTGAGCGAGGAGCGTAACCGCTTCTCCTCATGGCACATCCCGCTCCATTATAATGTAAGTCCAGTTTCACAGATTTACGACCCTCACGTCTGGAAAAACGGAGCTAACTTCAGCCACAGTAAAACTTTAGAAAGTGGAAAGTGGTCGTCACAGAGCGCAGGAAGCGAGCGATGGAGCTTCATCAGAGTTCATTAGAGACGATGTGTTCATCAGACTGAAACAATAATACCAGCTGTGTCATCATTTCACTGACTGTAATTCAATCAGGCTGATCGTGCTGATGATGTTAGAAGTACTGCTTTCCCTGTCACTTTCTACAACTCTACTATCCATAACAATTCATCCCAATTTGGGAAATTGTTTCGTCACAGAAGCAGAAGTGTGTTCAGACATTAAAATACAAATACTTTAGAAAGTGGAAAAGAGAATTACAAATAA